GGCTGTGAAGCATGTAAAGGACGTCCTCGACCCATCGGTGAAATTCAAGAAAGCATACAGATATGCTGCGCAAGCTCGTTGGACGATTGAGCGCCGTCTGCGCCGCTGTGATAGATTTTCCCGCGCTTTTCTGAAGCTGTTGTCGAGTGACGACAATGCAACCGAAGCCCAGAGGAGGGCAGCCGCTTTCCTGATGATTCTGTTTGAGCAAGATGGTGTCAATCTACAGCATAATGGGATCTACAGAGATGATCCGGATGCATTTCTGGAGCTCCAGAAGGTCCGAGGTGCTGTTTTCAATATTTCGCTCATCTGGGATCAAAACATTGAGCGAGATATGGAAATGCGGGCGTATTTGATCAGAGATCGGCAGGATCTTGATGGTATACCCCCGTGGATCTTGGAAGATGCTGTGCAGTCTGCAAGGCAGGTGGGGTATCCTAAGGCAAATCGAGATCGGGGCCCTTGGCTCCTGTCACTGCACGATGCCGTGGCAGAGCCGGTCATGCGCGCTGCCAAAAGCCGTGCGCTGCGGGAGCTAATTCACGAGAACCGGTTGAGGGTTGCCTACCTCGGAGGCGCTGGCAAGAACGACAACACTCCTATGTTGGAGCTTCTGCTGCAGGCCCGGCAGAGGTTGGCGAAAGTCGTGGGCTACCGGACACATGCCGACCTCGTCTTCACCAGGACGATGGCGAGCCCGAATCAAGCCTACGGCTTGTTAGCGAAGCTTCGCCAGGAGGCCCTTCCCAAAGCACGGAAGGAGCTGGACGAGCTGCAACTTTTCGCTCGTTCGCACGGTGCCGACTACGAGCTAGACCATTTCGATGTGGAGTATTGGGGGCAAAGATTCTTGGAGCAGCGCTACGGCCTGCGAGACGAATATGTCCGGGAGTTCTTCCCTTTGCCTGCAGTGCTCAGGGGCTTGTTCTGGCTTCTAGAACAGCTTTTCCATGTCAAGGCCAGGGCGCCGAACAGAAAAGGACAGACAGTACATCGCAGGGAGTCTCCATGGTAAAGGCTTCGACCACTGGCAGACTAGGATGAGACATTTTGGCCTTGGGAGCCCGCCGACGATTATTGTCATGTGATCGGACCGACGCCGCCCGAGTGTCCATTATCCGATTACGAACTTGAGGGGAGTCATGGTGGGTGGGTGGTCGTTGTGGTCAGGGATAGAGAATTCCGACCCTTGAGATCACTGTGGCTCTCTTTCTATAGGGTTCCAGGCCTTCCATCCGGGTCCTTGGCCGCTCGTGCCGGGTTCGGGTGCCTCTGCTGCACCGGCCCCGGGCTTGAGGTTTGCGCACGACCTTGTACAGTTTAGGCTTTCTCCACCATCTTCTTAAACATATCCTGTCGTCTGTTGCGGTATTTGAGGAATGTGTGTTTCTTGAATATATTGGCACGGAAGGCCTGAGCCTGGCTGACGAGGGTTCAAGGCACACCCGGCGCCGCTGGCGAAGGATCGTTTCCCCGACCACCTCGCGTCTTTAATTTGTGCAAGCCTGCTTTCACGAGCATCGTGACCTTAGGAACAGAACCACTTTCAGAGCCCATCAGGAGCGGATGCTCTCCTGCTTTTTTTAGTCGTGCAAGCTTGCTTCAAGAGCATCATGCCATCAAGAAGAATTGCATCAAGAAGGGACTGTGTTAAATATAACCAGCCCAATGTACACCCGAATGTTCACGATGCATTTATGAATGCTATGATGCCGAATGGAATTTGGCTCAAGACTGGACACGACTGGCTTGGTCGCACAAAGGAATGTCTGTGTGATTGCGTATCACTGGGAAAAGTGACTGATCTCGGTTGGTTGTGATTGTTTGGGTTGAAGCTTTGACTTTTACTCGCACTCACTCGCTCGATTACTCATTCACAAATCGGCGCACACATGTTTTTGCATGGGAGTCGAATTGGTTCAAAAACTCATTGTTGTTGTGTTGGATGTTTGGCAAGAATCAAGTTGAAGCACTAAACTCGCTTGCATCAACAGGAGCCAGGCCCGGCGGCGACCCACGGCACCGGCGAATAAGCTTGGATTCTGAGCTTATGTCGTCCCGAGACTGTCGCAATCGGCTCCTCCTCTGCAGGGTCTCGAAGAACACCCGGCAGAGTGGCACAGCAGCGGACAAAGTTTGGTAGACTACTCGACAGTCATTCAAAAAAAAGGGCAGTTTTACTTTCGCGATAGGTCCGTCCACGGTTGAATGTGGAACTCACGAAACGAAGCTCGTAGAACTAATCGTTTGCTGCGGCTTAGCGTGGATACAACAGTGACATTGCGCCATATAGATGCACAACATGATGTGAATGCTTTGGGTGGGGCTGAATAAGAATGCAACGAGTGTCGCTCATCACATCTGTGTACAATTGAGCAAATGCGCGACAGGTGATTGAGGAGAGCAGCGATTTGACGTGGGCGGAGCATGTGCGCTTCTTTCGCATCAGAGATACCGACACTGACGACTTGGTAGCATCCTTCTTCCTCGATGCTCACAGACGGTGGGGCCAGAAGAGAAGGGGTTTCTGGTCTTCATCAATACAAGGCTATTCGGAGATTTTAGGCCACCGGTCGACTCCACGCACACCAGCTGTGAACGTCATGTGTGATTTGGAGCCACCCACAGTTGACACGCCCAGCTTGCTTACTCATGGCGAAGTAGTAAAGCTGTTTCGTGTGTTCGGATCAAGCCTCCGCGATCTTTTCTGCAAGCAGCCAGAGGGTCTCCTTTCCGGCCGCGCGGGGCTTGAGACGGACATTGTTGAACTACCTGCCTACTTCCTTGAAAGATGGGCTTACGACCGACGGGTGCTTTCTGAGATGGGCCGACACTACAAGAGTGGGGACCCCCTGCCGCAAGCAGCAATTGATGCTTTGTCTGACTCAAGGACCTTCTTAGCCGGAGTCCGTACTCTTCGGAAAGCTGCTCGGGCCCACATCGATTTGGAGCTTCATGCGGACTATGATCCCTATGGGGACATCAACGTTTTCGATCTTGCCAAGCTCATCGAAGGTGAGTACGCCGTCATCCGCCCGAGAGTGCAAGATCGAGAGCTGTGTAGCTGGCCCTTGAACACTGAGTTGGCCGGCGCCTTCTATGGCGAGCTTTGGGCAGAAGCCCTTGCTGCTGACGTCTTCTCAGTCTTCGATGGCGCAAATGCGTCCGAGCTTTTGGGAAGTTCGGGAGAGCGCTTTCGACGACTTCTGCTGGAACCGGGTGGTGGAAAGGCCCCTGGCACAGCACTTCAGGAGTTCCTGAAACGGCCACCTTCCTTCGCGACCTTCCTGAAAGACGCAAAGCTGCTGAAGGACAACGACCTCGAGGAGATGAAGGAGCCGCAACTGCAGCCACAACAACCGGAAGACGAAGGTGAGAACTTCGACGACTCCTACTACGGCGAGTACGGCGGGGTCGACGCAGACTTCGATGACAGCTATGCTGAGTTCGAAGATGCTGAAGATACGTACTTATCTACATCAAATCCGGACCAGGTAGGTGGATCTGCAAGCTCTCCGGGGTAAAAAGTTGCAAGGAAGAGTCAGTCAGACCGCCGACAAGAAATGCGCGCTGACACGCATCCCAAGTGTAGACCTTGAGCGTGTCCCGCAAAGCTTTCGGTTCAGATATCAAGCGGTTTCAGTGCATTTGAGTGGTTGCGTTGTGTTTTGCGAAGTCAGCTTGTGCACGCATTACGCCAAGCCTGGATGTCGCTCGATGCGCAACTGTTAGGAGTGTTCGTGGGTTCCGGCATGCTACGTTCCCTGCAGCTGGCTCTGGGCTGCGTCATCATAGAGGCAAGTCGAATTCTCGAAAGGGGCAGCTTGGCGGCTTACCATTCGCCCTACTGAACGCCCTTTGCTCAGCGCGCCTGGCGACATCATTCTGCGCCAGATGAAGCTGCCGCGGCCAACTCAACCGAGTCAAGCCGGCAAGTTTGAGTCTTCTCGCCCGCGAGAAAGGGAAGCATCAGAAGGTTGGTGAACGACATCGCGGAGTCTGAATGGCGGGAGCCATCCACCTGGAGCCTGAGCTCGAGGCAGTGCACCTAACGGCCATGCGATTCTTCTCTCGCCCTGTGACTCAGACCGAGACCGTGGACTGAGACAGGTGACTGGGTCGTGCAAAGCAAGGCCCTTGCTCGTGTGGTAAATCTGGGCAGGAACTCCTTCGCTACAGCTGCTGCCGGTGGCTAAGACACGCTTTGCACCTGTTCCTGTCAGTGTAGACTACCCCGAGCAACATGCTAGACATAATGCCACATCAGCTCTTGCAGAATCTCGCTGAAGGCTCCTAGCTCTTGATGTCCTTGGTGTGGTGACTCTTGGCAGGCTTGGGATTTGATGTACCGCAGCAGTAGCTGGAATAGAGATTGGACGATTGACACGGAGGGTGAGCGTGAGCAAGAGTGAAAATTCATTGCTTTTGTATTCATGCCCGTGCTTTGCTTTCTGGCTCGGAGTAGAACCGGCTTGGGGTCCCTGAAGTGCCGGTACGAGTCTTCTGTCAGGCCGAGTCCTTAATATGAATGTCTGGCCGTGCAATTGCCAAGGTCATGGATGTGACCGTTGCTGGTGCACAGGCTGTTCACAGAACTGAACTTGCGTAAAACATTTGCCATGTCTTTCAGGGCTTACCAGAGAAAGCCTACCTCAGCTTGCGAGCTGGTGATGTGCCAGGTGCCCGGAAAATCAGTTACAGTAGGGTAGCAGCGACGTGCCGACTTCATTTCAAGCTTGTGCGTGCCGTGAACACATTTGTTTGGTGCGATCGTGTGCCGAAGGCCTAAACATGCAAGGTCATGCAGACTGTGCACCTGCAGAAATTCACCCCGACTGCGGTTCCACTGCGATCTGGCGCAAGCTCCGACCAGAAAAATCTTTTCAGCAGTCTGGCTGTATAACTGTGCAGATGTCTCATCCGGTGCCATGTATACACGTATGAGAAACATCAGAGCTTGTTGAAACGTGCAGATTCATGTCCACGAACACTAGCAGATGGAAGTCTCTTCGAAGCTTCGTCCGGCTTCAGATGTGTTGTTCGGACTTTTGCAAACAGGTCAACATGCAAAGAACGGTGAGGGAAGAACGTTGCTTTTTGTGTGGGTCTGTAAGTCTTTTGGATTTTTCGGTCCTAGGCGAAAGCAGACCCAGTACAAGCCAGGTGCGTGGTCCGTGTCAATCCAGGAACGATGCGACACCAAAGCATTGTTGGCAGGCGAATGCTTCTCGTTCGACGGTAAGCAAGTGCCGCGGCACCTGGTGGCAGCCCCATTTGTGTACACACATGTTAGTGTCCTTATCATGAGAAAAAGGCTACGACTACTGACAGGTGGTTGATGTCTTCGAAAAAGTTGGCACGGCGCAGGCACTGTTCGCGTATGGTGCCCGACCTGAAGCAGCGCTTGGAGTCTGCAAAGGTGAGCATCTCCGAGCTGTCGAACTGCGACGGTGGATTTGTGCAGTTGCAAGGAAGGCCAGAGCCGCTCGAGCCCGAGCCGAGGAGTCTGGGGTAAAGATGCTTTCGCTCGGATAGGGATGGGAAGATCGTCCTGGACATGCAAGCCAAGGCCGGCCAAAAGGCTAGTCACGGCTAGGCTACTAGCGAAGAAAGCGACTCCATGATAATCCATGCAGGTGCGTTCCCAGATGCCAGAGCCGAAGAAGCGGGTCTCCCGACACCAGGTTCTGCTGGTGCTTTCTTCTTTCAGACATCTTTTGCTCTTGCTGAGCAGGCAGCCATAGATGCACAGCAGTATTTGGAGGCTCGTGGCTTGTGGATGTAGACTTGTTGAACATTGCCGAGTCGTGTTTCATTCGCTTCTCCTGCGAAAATCAAGGCCCACTCCGTTCAGCGAGTGTTGCCTGAACCTTGGCTGACGAAAGCATGTTTTGTTTCACCACTGCCATCTCGAGGCAGGGAATGGTCCATGAGCTGCTGTCTAACCGACCCTCTGATCCGTACTCCTTCATGCTAGGCTACATTCAGGCGCCGAATCCGCCTGTGCCTTTCTGTCCCTGCACCTTACACGTCCAGGCAAGCCAGGCGAACAGGCCAACGCCGATACCTTCGCCTTTCCTCCCGGCAGCTCAGCTGGCAGCTGGGTTGAAATGTCACAAAACTCGGCGGGGCGAAATCGAGGCGAGGGGTCCAGATGAGGACGCCAACACCTTAGAGCTTTAGAGGTCTGAGTGGACTGAAGACTTTCGGAAGGGACCCACTGACGCTGCAAAGGATTTGCCAAACTGGTCAGCAATGCCTGGCCGTGGGGATTCCGAGGTGGGCCGTTGAGGAAGAGTGAGCAAGCCTAAGCCGCTCGCCGATTCTCGGTGCTCTTATTGGGCTGGGGATCCTGCCAGTACCCCGGCTTCCCATCAGATGGTTCACAGCCGCTTCCAGATCTGCCGCGCACCTGTGGCGAGAGTTTCCTGCGCCCTTCAGCGGAGAAAGTGACGCCAAACCGTTGTCACCTAGGTCTCGTCACCACAGCACGCTCGCGCATGTGCTCAAAGAGCAGCCCATGCTTTATGAACATCTCAAGGCGCCCTCTCACAGAGCTTCCAGAAATCTTCGTCTATTGCTGGCCTGTGCTATCGCGAGGATGTGCGCACTCCAAATGGTGTTTCTTTGGCGCAGTGCATCAAGCCTGGGATAGACAACAGAGGCTGGGCAGACGCTGCCCTCGGTTCATGGTGTTGTGGAATTGTGCAGGGCACCCCATTCTGCGCACTCTCGGGCTCATCGCTGCAGTGCGGACCCAAGTGGCCCAGCCGTGCATTCTACCTCACACCCAGCTGGACTCCTGAGGACGAGACCTGCTTCGAGGTCTTCGAGCCGCTTTTCCGGTCGGTGATCGCCTCACGCTGCGTTCAGTCAAGCAGTGGGCGTAGGTCCATCCACTGTGGGAATCATGACTGAAGGTAATGGACAGGTGGTACGAGAGCATCTTGCAAGACGTGCAGCTGCCGAGCACCGTCGATACTCGACAGGCAAGCTAAAAGCGTCCAATGGTAGCTCAGGCATGCTCAGGCTAACTCTGCAGCTCTTTTTTGACAGGCAGGCGAATCGTTGAGAGCTCTCTCCGCCAGTCTGCTGTCTGTGCAGGCTGGAGTTCGCGTTGGTCTTACATGGCTCGACCTAAGCCCTCGACAGGTGACATGCAGCCGCAACATTCGCGGCATTCAGATGCCACCCGCAGCTCAGCGAGAGGCCGGGCATGAGCTCAGGAAGGCCGTCGGAGTCGAAGCGAGGGAGATCCGTCGTGTGAGCAAGGAAAGGAAAGAGGCTGAGCGAGTCGTATTGGAGGCGTTGCTGTCCGTCGAGGACCGGACATGCGAGTGAGCGCTCTGGCAACCCGCGTGTCCGTTCACTGTCGGAGGATGAGTTGCTGAATGGCGGGGACTACTTCCCTCTGCAACTCAGCACCGATAGATGTGAAAGGGAGTCGGTGGCCTTCCTTCGCTGCTAGGCGTGGCTCTGAGACGTATCCATCGAAGCCGAAGGGGATGTCGCCTTCCTCCGAGCAAAAGCTCAAGGCAGAGATGGCAGAGTCCTTCCTGACCGTGGCGGTTCAAGCATACATACGTACATACATACATACATGCATACATACGTACATACATACATACATACACGCATGTACACATGCACACGTACATACATGCGTACATACATCGATACGTATATATATATATATATATAATATGTATATATATATATATATGTTAGCACAAAAATTTCATCTATTTATTCGTGTATAGCTAGCGAATGAGTTAAGCCTGTTTTGGCAGAGAGGCAGGCCAGGGCGAGACACCAGCGTGTTGTTGATGGTATCAGTGTAGGGGGGGCTAAATAGAAAGGTTGAGTAAATTGAGAGGTTCACAGGGGGCTCGGGCTAGCCAGCTGGCCGGCTGGCTGGCTGTATGATTGGGTCAGGCAGCTAGAGAGATAGATAGTTAGACACATAAATGGATGGGTAGATGGATAGAATAACAGAGGTTGATGAAGCAGTCATCTGGTCAACCAACTCAGCAAGATGCCAAATCATCAAGTTATCGTTCCTGAATGGGAGCTGCAGCAGCATGTTGAGTCTTGGACCGTGCATCTGATCAATCGCCATCCGAACCGTCGGCCAAGAGCCAAGGTCGGTATGGCTACGTGCAGTCCGGTTTCTGTCTTGATGTCTGTGGAGGCTGCCGGCGAACTGCTGGAAGAGCCGCAATCGGGACTGCTCCTGTCCAGTGGCCTCGGTAGACATTGGCCAGAGGCCAGAGCAGCCGTGTCCATGCTGTGTGATCGCTTTTCTGTTCCGTTCTGTTCTGTTTCGGCCACTTCACTCCAGCGATCTTCCTAGTCGGGCGTTTCCTGAAGCAGACATCTACATCTGTCCTCCACGGTGGACTTAGCAGAGTGTTCCTACGAACAGCCGGAAATCTGTGGGATTTGCCAACGCAGACCCAGTCCTCCCACTTCCTCCCGTCCTCCGTCTGTGAGATGAATGGTTTCCACAGAGGGGCATGCTTCGTGTTTGATAGGCAGCTTTTAGCAGGAAATGTGGTTCTTCGCTGCCGAAAGATCAAGTGTGCTTTGATTGCTTTTCAGGAAGAGCTGTCGTCCGTTTTGTCGCAGTCTTTTCCGTGATGGCAGCACGAAAGAGTCATGTTTATGGTCAAGAACGGAAATGTTAGCAGGCAGACGGGAGGTTGTATCGAACGCCTGTGTTTGGGCATGAAACAGGCTGGCGTGCTGGCACAGAAATCGAAGTTATAGCCATTCGTGTAGATGCATCTAATATTTTCTGACAAAGCGAGCGCAGACGTGCAAACCGTCAACTGTAAAGCATTGGTTCTGCCAAACTGCAAGATCAAATTCTTTGGGTTCACCAAATCCACAGGGAAACCAAAAAACAAGAGCTACGGCTGATAACCAATCAAGAGGAAGGAAGGTACTTACACCCAGCCAACCCTCTTAGAAACCGGGGCTCTGACTGCATGCCCTTCGGTCTTTTCCTTGAGCCACATATACGCCGTCTCAGGCGTTAACATGCGAAACTAACGGGGCCTCTGAACATTTAAATTAAAGTGCCTCTGCTAAGTCTCTGTCGGGCCTCTGGGGTCGTATTCCTTCAACTCTGTTGCACCAACAAAACGTCCAACCTGTAAGAACGAGCTCTCGAGAATTGAGCCTTTCGCAAGCTAAGGAAGCGAGGAGAGTGGCAATCCCGAGCATGCAGCACTACTCAACCCAGCCGAGGATTTTAGTGGCTGTTTCTCTGCCATAGTCGGGTGCTGCCTTTGTGCGCGCCAGCCACAGGAGGGCGCCGCACAAAGCGCCCCGAGCTGGTTTTTGCTACCGAAGGACCTGACCGCGGAGCGAGGACGGGCGCAAAAGCCCGCAAACGCAACTTTTACAAAGCAAGGGGCTAAGCCAAGAACTCCAATACCGAGTGGTGTAAACCACATGATATGATCCACAGAGATGCAGGAATGAAGGTGTAAGAAGGCAACCTGCTAACAGGATACATGATTTCGATCATAGCATGGGTCAAGCAGTCAATCCAAGCGTGTGTGTTTTGGCCCATTCGTGTTTGTGGATTCGTGTTGTTTATATATATATATACACACAAAACAACACCTTTTTAAAGTATGAACAAAATGAAATTAAAAAACACTTTCATTGAAAAACCAAAACACCTTAACCTCAAGTAAGGTGTTTTGGATGCTCTGGGGGCAAGTCGGCCGTCCACACCGGCTCGGAGACCCCTAGAGAGACCCTGCAAGGCCTCGCAAGACCACCGTTCGCTGCTGCACATGGAGGAGGCCGTGGGAAGCGAGAGGGCGAGGAGGGCGAACCGCCGAACAAGCCAGCAAGGAAGCCACGCTTGCCGAGCACACGCTGAGCTTTGCGTGAGTAGAAGCAGATTGGCATCCTCCAGTGTAGGCTGCTGTATCGTTACCCCCGCATCAAGGTCGCTCCTCAGAGGAGATGGCCTGATGAGCGCGGAGTGGGATAGGGTCGTGGGTCTGGTTGTCGAACGGACAATCGCCTGAGAGCCGTCGGACGGTACATCGTTGGCACACCTCCATAGGCGCGTCCTGGAGGATGCCCGCAGTTCCGGTGACCGCCATCAGAGCGAAAACGTTTTGGACGCCCCTGCGCATCCCAGGACGTTCAAAAAACTTCGTCGAGTGGCCGTTGCAACTCCGCTATACTCGCGCACCACTTTGCACACCGTAGCTTCGCAGCCTCAATAAAAACGGGTGGGATTTCGCCGGGCGGCAGACACCAACAAGGCGACTCCGACCCCCAAGCCTAGTCCGATGCGAAGTCCAATCGAGGCCGTCGACAGGCACCCCGTTGCCGCCCTAGTTTCGGTTTCGGCTTACCTTTCTGGTCCCAATGTAGGCTGTGCACTCGGCGGTTCGTGGCCGTTGCGTCCGGAAGCTCTTTCCAGTGCTCCTCCGGTCCTCCGTTCGCTTCTCCAAGTCTGTCTTGTGGCGAACCTGTTGGCCTGTGGCCTTTTGCGCTAGGCGCTCAGCCGGCTTTGCCGTGCCCTGGTAGCCCCCCCTAGTTTCGTGCGAACAGACCTCGATGCCTCTC